TCCGGACTTTTTCCACATCAGCTGGCTGTATGTTGAGGGGCTGTCCTCCCACTGACTGTGACTCTAATTTGGCTTTCTGTTCAGGTCTTGGTTGTAGAGAGTGTTGTGGAGGGTGTCTTAGCTGATCAGGTGCTCCCACTGCTCTTGGAACGTCTCCACGGAGGTATTGCCCCACTGCTCTCAGAACATCTTCATGCTGATATGGTTCCATTTGCAATTTATTTGGATCTCGGATCTGAGGGTCAGGATCATCCTCCTCCAATGTATTTTGGTCTGGATAGTGAGCATTCTCTGGAATGAGTCCCTCCCACTGATCTGTGCTAGTTTCTGTGTTCCAGGGAGCAGTGTCGTCCTTTTGTACCTTTCCTAATTCATTGAATATGACATGCCGACTGGAAAACACAGTTCGTTTTTCAGTGTCTAGGAGTTTATAGGCTTGCTTTCCATGTGTGTAGCCAATCATTATGGCTTTGCGCCCCTTGGAGTAAAACTTCCCTTGCCTTTTGTCTTTTGGAATCAAAGCATTTGCTTGGCATCCGAAAGGGCGAAATAAAGTTGGATCAACTCTCCTTTTAAACAGTATTTCATATGGGGTCTTTCCATGGAGTCCTGATGCTGGGCTGCATGCTGTGATATATGCAGCTGTTTGCATGGCATCTACCCAAAATGACTTTGGGAGCTTGGAATCATGGAGCATAGTGGTTGTTAATGTAGCCAATGTCTGATTCATGGGTTCTGCAATGCCATTTTGTTCTGGAGTATCTGCAGCTGTAATTTCTTGGATGACACCATCTCCTCGGAGTTGATTTTTGAATGCATTGCTAGTATATTCTCCTCCCCCATTGCTCCGGAGGAATTCTGTGTATAGTGGAGTGAAGTTTTCTTCTCCCAAATGAGTCCAGAAGAATGTTTGGACATCTTTTTTCCATTGCTTGTATCGTTCCAGTGCTTCACTTTTATGTTTTAGGAAATATATCCAAGGAAATTTGGAGAAATCATCTACAATGATAATCCAGTACCAAAAACCCTCCCTGGAAGTTGGTTTAATTGGTCCTCCAACATCTGAGTGCACAATTTGTATGGGGCGCTTGGCTTGGTTTCCTCCAGTGGACTTGAAAGGTAATTTCTTCATTTTTCCTAAAGCACAAGGTTCACAGAACTTCGGGGTTCCGGTAAGGGTGTCTATGTCCTGGAGCTGTCCTTTTGTAACCATTCATTGCAAGCAGTCCATTCCAATGTATCCCATTCTCCTGTGCAATGCAATAAATTTACATCTACTGCTGCAAAAGCTGACTCTGGGTTGATTTTGGGTTTTGCTTGGATGTGATAAAGTCCTTGCTTGTGTAAGGCAGTGAGGATAAGTTCCTTCTTTTTCCGAACTTCACAAGCATTTGACCCTGCTGGAAAAAGTGTTGATAACCCCGTTTTGGACAATTTGTGGACAGAGACGAGTGCTAAAGTGGAGTTTGGCACAAGTAAGACATTTGACAGTGCAATATTGTAGTCCTTATTGCCAACAGTTGCTTGTAGGATTACTATTCCAATGCCAATGGCATTTACAGAGGATTCATCCCCAAAACTGATTGTCCTTGGAGGATGCAGAACATGGTATGTTCCTGGCTCAAACCAGGAGCGGTGAGGGACCATGTGGGATGTTTCTCCGGAGTCAATGATGATTGTTGTTTTGGTCTTATTGGGTTCCAACAGCTTGAATTCATTTAGCAAGGGGCTTGGGAATATGTACATGTTCCAATGCAATATGACTTTGTTCCTCCTCGGAGTCAGATTCAGATGATTGCTCCGCCGTATCTGCCTTTTCCTTCTCTTTTCCTTTATCCTTGTGTCTTTCCTTTCCCTTCTTCTTTTGACCTTTTCCAGCTGACTGAAGTGTTCAACACTCCGAGGTATTGTGTGATTTGGCTTTGTGGAAGTCACACCACTTCTCCTCGGATTTGAGTGCTGATTTGGAACCTCCAGGGGCCTTCCCTGACTGTCGTGCAACTTCTGCAGTGATCCAGATCTCAACTGCATCAAAGGTAAGTTTATTTTCTTCAATTGTGTTAATTACTGATGACTGAAATATTTGCCATTCAGGAGTGCATGGGAGAGATTGGAGAAGAGCAAAGGCCATGAGTTTGGTATCAACTCCTAGTTTCATTCCAAAGAGGTGTGAATCAATTGTCCAGATTTCCGCAATGTGGTCCTGGATAGGTGATGTCCCATCCCAGGACAATTTGGTGAGTTGTTGGAATGAATAGAAGGCCGAGGCAATGTTGGACGTCTGATGGAGTGAGTGTTACGATAACACAATTTTTGGACTTTCCCTTTACTTTTATTCTCTGCTTTAAACTTTAGCTTTTCACACATGGTGCCACGCGGCACTTCCCCTTTCTCGCGCCGTGTTGCCTTTCTTCTTATTTTGGACACAACTCTCTCACACAGTGGAGCTGGCCATGCGGGCTAGGCCCCATGACATTATCAGCCACTGTCTCTATCAACTGTATAGTACACATGTACAAACAAACCTGTAGTAGTATATAAACCCCAATAGATCCAGGAGACTCCTCAGCGAGTCCTCCTGTTGTATACCAACTAACTCTCTGCATCTTAAGGGGTAACCACTCCCTCTTCATTCTCTTTATAGTGTGTTCCTGTGTGTGCCAGAGTAAATAACACTTGGTTGTTACATTAGGACTCGCTCTTCTACTCTCTCGCACTGTGTGCAAACCCGGTCCCCCAGGGTTAAGGGGTTGATGTTTTGAAAAAGTCCCACTGGGCACCCAATTCTCAGGGTGAAGAGAATTGCAACCAGAGTAGACACGGGTCCTCTGTGTTGGTGTGGAATGACAGGAGTTATTCGGACCCTGGGCATGGCCACCTGGTACTCGATTATTGTTTTGGAATATCCCGCATAGCAAATGGGTGCACTCCTAGCGACGGCCCTGTAGTGCTCAGGGAAAATGGACAATTATCTATACGCGGCCCCCAGCGTCAAGGGGAGTATTTAGTCACAGCATGTGGTGTGGAGCCCATGTCTGTGTTTGTAGTTGTAGTAATATCTTCACTTCGTATACCTCTGACCAGGCCGGGCACTTGCCTCCGCCAGTCTGGAGAAGGGCTGACAGCTTAACAAGCGGGCCACCCCCTGACAACTGTTCGGACCAGGGTTTCAATACTATAGTCTTTTTATCTTCTTTATAGTGTGTTCCTGTGTGCGCCAGAGTAAATAACTCTTGGTTGTTGCAATTATTTCCTGTGTAGCTTTTGCGCACCAGGGCTCATAACCTAATAAAACTAAGTGAAACTCAGCCGCTGTTACAATAACACAATTTCTGGACCTTCCCTTTACTTTTTATTCTCCGCTTTAACCTTGTACTTTAGCTTTCACACACGGTGCCACACGGCACTTCCCCTTTCTCGCGCCGCGTTGCCTTTCTTCTTATTTTGGACACAACTCTCTCACACAGTGGAGCTGGTCTTGAGGGCTAGCCCCCATGACATCATCAGCCACTGTATCTATCAACTGTATAGTACACATATACAAACAAACCTGTAGTAGTATATAAACCCCAATAGATCCAGGAAACTCCTCAGCGAGTCCTCCTGTTGTATACCAACTAACTCTCTGCGTTTTAAAGGGTAACCACTCCCTCTTCACTTTCTCTATAGTGTGTTCCTGTGTGCGCCGGAGTAACTAGCTCTTGGTTGTTACAGCCGCTGCCCGAGAGGCTATAGAAACAACTGAGGTATTTCTATACTAAACCCCCTACTACTTATAGTCAGAGGTGCTACTCGCTACAGTATAATGACTCCTAGGAGTACAATTGTGCTCCTAGGAGAACAATGGTGACTCCATGGAGTGGTGGCTATGCTCCATGGAAAACAATGGCTGCTTTGGCAGAGACCAGGTTTATTTGGTTTTGTCAATATCCCTCTGAACCAGATAACTTGCATTGTGTAGAGCATGACATTGAGATTCTAGTTGCTCACATAACCCGGAAGATTTTGAATGGTTTAGCGTTATGAAGCAAGCTGAGAAAGACTGTATCAAACGTCAATTACTACTTACATCCCACAATCAATTGCACAGCTGTTGCGGGAATGCGACAAAAACCTCTCAAGCTGAGACTCGAGTTATTTAGCAAGAAGCCTGGACCCCTCAATTAACTTTTCATTATACCATAAAAGTGACAGATGAACCTACGACTTGCACGGCCGGATGTCAGTCAGTCAGTAACTGATGATGTGGGGAAAATGATGGACATTCACCTCTTAATACAGTAACTCGCATTTAGTTGAAGGATCCTACTAGAAGAGGTTAGGTGTTTGGTATGGCCCTTTCAAAAGCTTGCTCTCGGAGTAGAAACACTTGTTGATCAGCATGAAGTTATATTAAACCTACATTGCAATGAACATACTAGGTTATGTTTATAATTGCAATAATATATAGCCAGAAAATTGGAATATACTATACTGGTATGCACCATAACACCAACATTAGATTACTACGCAGTGTTTGACTTGTCCTAACTTACACTGAACCTGATGACCGGCTAAACATGTTGATCATCTTCTCCATGGACCCCCAAAATACACGCATTTATGACCAGACTGGATGACTTGTGTTATGATAAACCCCTGGCACATTAAAAGAAAATTCACGTTATCACGCAGAAGGAATGTCCACCGGCAAATTGAACACTATATCTGTAACCTGGCAGCTGCTCTTTGTAGATCCCTGAAGCAAATGTGCATTGCGGTGCCTGATATTTAAGCTGTGCATTTTGTCAGCAGGATTCACGCTTGGACCATCACTGGTGAGACACACGATGCCAGAAGTGAGTTTGCATATACTGTTTCAATTAAATCAGCATTTGTGTCCTTTGTTCAGAATAATCACAGACATGTACGCCTTGTCTACACTATTATGAAGCCAAGGTACGTGAGAGTGCCAGGGGACAGAAGCAGCTGCATAGCCATCGGTATAGGTTTACAATTGATCAAGATGCTAGACGTGCAGCCATGATTGTTCCAGCTTCGACAATTCTGCAAAAAAGTTGTCAGGAGATATCCATTCAATATAGTTGGCATGAATTATGATGTGAGACCACCATTGCTGATGGTGTACACAATCAACCAGTCGACTAAACAATTCAGCCTTTGAGAGTCAACTTGAATAGACTATTACATCTGTGGAAAACCGGGTACTCACTTAGAGGATTTAAGGTCGGAACGTCCTGCGTGTAGATAATAGTACGCAAGTATGCAGGCCGTGGCAGCATCACCCACAACGTACATTATATTTCCAACGAGAAGAATCACCTAATTTTTATTGAAATTGTACGGATTTGGCAGAGAGAAATGTACTTACGAGGGCATTCTGGTGAAATAGATACCACGAGTGGTAATATGCACTATAAGAACAGCAGATGAGATAAAAGGCTTTATTATACAGGAAAAGGACTGCTCACGTGAATGCACAAGCAGCTATCCCTACACCTGGGACAAACCAATGAGCCCAAAAGTCATATATAGCAGACCATGTACAGACCACTGCGCCCAGTGCCGGAAATAACCTATATGTAACATTATGACAGAAGGGAATGGACAGACAGACAAGGCACACTATCAATATGGGAACCAGTGGTTTTCCACTCACTGATATCGACCACATGAGTTGATCTGTTAGCAGATAAGCAAACAATAGGAGTGCGTACGTTTCCAAACCCTCCAAATGAAATAGCTAAAATAAAAGAATGCAATCTCTCAATGAAAGGGGCAGTCAGGGATGACATAGGACTTACAGATTGACAACATATTCTATGACAAACTAGAGTTGTGATGATCAATAAAGCGAATGATCAAATGACTTTAGAATTTATGCTTACTCCAATTATAAATGTTGCCTGGAAGATATGTCAAAGGGACAATTAATGTCATTAATGTATCAGAAGTGTTATACTCTTACGGGAATAGCACTGAGTGGAGTAGCATTTGTTAGGGGAAAACATGCTTGAGGGTTGGTGTGACGCACCTTTGAATAGAGAACAACAAGTCCACGTCCGCAAAACCGGCAATTAGATAGGAATCCATAGTATAGATTGACATTCCAGCGTGAACCATTTCTAACACCCTAGACATCAATTTCATCAGTATATCTCCAGGAGAGAACAGGTTGTTTATAACCATATCAAAGCAACCTTTATATAACAATATATTTTGTTAAAAAGAATCAAGGACCATGAAAGAACCACGTACAACGGCTTTTAGGCTCCTTCGATCACCTGGGTAGCTTTGGAAGTAAAAAAAAGTCTGCGTGCATGTCACACCATATAGACTGAAAACTGGAGTACAAGCATCAGAGCTCATGAGTCATGATATCCTTGATATACATGGGGCATGTCTGTTACTTACAGCAAGCCAATGAGAGCACCTAACAGAGGGCCTCGCATGAGTGATACCGCTGGGGTAGTAACCATGGTATATCCTCTTAGAAGGATTCTGACAAGCCAAGTTTAGATAGGTGAAACCTTGGCCACTTTATACCATGAGATGTTGTTCGGCGGCGGGCTTTTGTTGGCACAGCCCGAGAATGGGCGCTAAGTGATTCATCAAAACAACAAAAGAAAAAGGCCACTTCCAGCCCAAAGTTATGTCAAGCAAGAATTTGCAATGTAATGTCTGATCCGTTTATAAACTGTACACAGCTGAAACCACGCTCATTAGGGCATAAACGACTTAGTAGTGACCCCCGATCGCACTAGCCATCCGAATCTATGATAAGTCTGCAGACATGATACAAGTAAGATCACCACCAATGGGGATAATCCCGCGTTTACTGGCTTCTCATTGCACCAATTCTTGATGGTCTCCATCTGATCGACTTGTGAAGAGCTGCAGGATGATATTTCGTTATGGAGATATGTGCAACTGCATAAGGTGTCACGTGATCTCCGACACAGGCAGTGATGTTTATAGACACGACAGGCACACGGAAGGTTTTGATGATGCATGGCTATGTGACATTTCTTCATGTTGAGGAGTGAGTGAATTGGGGAATTGTACTCTACTAGTCACGTGAATCTATCACAATCGCGGAGTTCGACAGCCTTAGGGAATGCGCGCTTGTCTTCCTGTTGCACCTTACGCCTCAGCCTTAACCTACGAGCTTATTTTCAAAGGACTTGACACCTCGGAGGAGACGAAGCATAGCGTAGCTCTCTGTAGCTGAAGTGCAAACACGGTGTACGATTCGAGCAACTTGAAGGCTCGAGAGTTTGACGAAGTCCCAGTACTGGCACCTGCTAAACTCGAGTAATGTTTACACAAAATGTCTTTTTTTCACTTAGCATTTTATTGCCGCTGATAGCATCAGCTGTCTCTCCCGCCTTGCGTCTCCAACCTTTCTCACCTCCGCAAGTAATCTATTCGAGGGATTTGGTACCTCTCATAGCTGCACCTTGGGCATCTCCGTCCTCAGCCTCCCTGGATTTATCTCGCTTACTCCAGGCAATCGTGATATCACGACTTTCTGCGTCATGTACGTTGCAATGCTATTCGCTGTGGATATTCATCGCTGTTACCAGGACTTTATCCGGTTTCCTGCTCTCGCGCAGCGTAGGATGGGCATATCCACGGCTTTTCAATCACTGGGCACTTTACGAATCGTCTAGTGGTATTGGGCCTGCGCTCATCACCTACGTAATTCTCTTGGGTGCTCCGCCTTGGACAGATTTCGTCGTATCTCGTTTTAAAAACTACCGCACTGAAAACACGGATTCACTAACTATTGTGTTCCTCGGCGCGCTACTGTGTTGGTTAGACAATGCTCCATGGACTTATTCAGTGGCTGCACTAGTAGCAGCAACTATAGGAATAATGCGTATCGCTTGCAAGGAATTCACCCACGATCATACTACAACACGCTATCCAATGGCACTTGATGGACAGGATGTGGCGCCGACATACAGACGCGCTCGTATAATCATCCAAACCGCCCTTCTCTCTTTGATTACAATGATTGTCCCAAACATGCTGAAGGGCATACTTTCTCACCCATCCTTCCCACCCATGCCTGTTTCTCCACGCACATCCGCACCACTTCTAGAAGTATTGGTGTTATCCTACCCTCGTCCCGATGACGTTGCTTCTCCATCTTCACTTTTATCTAGAACGATCAGCTCTTTTTTACCATTTGTCGAATTGAATACGACTGCGCTCTCTGTATTCACTCATGCATTGCCTCATACATCGTTCTCTCATGCCAAAGAGTACTTCGCAGAAAGCAATGTCCAATTTTACGCTGATCAAGATACACACCCTGATGCTCATCAGGGACAATACTTGCATATCGCAGAAGCCTTTCGGTGGGCCCATGAGAAGCAACAGAAATCTGAATGGATCATGCTCGTCGAAGACGACTTCCCCATCTGCGGAGAATGGGGATGGGGTGGAGTACGGGGCGTCATGAATGAACTGGAAAAAGGGAGGCACAATAGTACACTGCTTGACAGGTGGGGAGGTTTTGTTGGTACAGGTGGAAGGTAGGATGTTGTTGCATTATGTGCTTAAGAAGACGCACTGACGAAACGTAACTCTAGCGGTTTAATCGTTCACCGGTCTTTGCTATCTGTGCTCATCTTCCTTATGCGAGCGCACTCAGACCTAATCTCACCGTTGCCACCTGCTCTACCTCAAAGACCCGCAGATCTTATCATCCAGGATTGCCTCCTGGGAAACGATCCTCTATGTCCTCGACGACCGGGAGGCGGCAGTTTGGTCATTACGTCAAAATTAGCCATGGATCATATCGGCGCACTTTCTTCGACTACCAAGGGAAGAAGATACGAGGAAGACAAATGGAAGTGTGGCTGGAGGCATCCATTCCATGGCCAACCCGAGGTGGTGGTGGTTCCTATCTAGCAAAACTAACGAGCGCTATCAAGTATCAGAGTATTTACAGATTTATTTATGGCGAAAGATGTATCATATACGATCGTTACTTGTATTATGGGATTAGGAAAAGGTGCATCACGGCCACCCTAAGGGATCATGGCCACAGCTCTCAACACCCTCTGGATATCCCGCTCTTTCGTTACGGCTCAGTCTCGGATCTATGCGAGCAATCTGCTATGCTGAGAACTCTTCTCTGCGCAGCCTTCAAATAATGGAATCTGCTTCTAGGACGAGGGCAGTGGAAAAGGTCTTCTTGGAAAGATCATTTCTCCAGAGTGCGCATCCAGGCAAGAGTTTGGGGCTTCTCATGTGCTCGGCGGCATTCATGATTAACCGATGTTTGTTTCAGTAGTCGAGGCGTGAAAGTATCCCGCCGGTCAGTACAACTTGTATTCGAGCTGATTGATAAGAGAAGAGTAGTGACGTGATTATTATTTCATTGTTTCTTGTGGCATCACAGCATTGGACGATCTTCAGGATTATGAGGATGGCTATCCGCAAGCTTCGAGATGGATGACGAGGATGATCTATCAGTTCTATATTTGCGGATAGATGCTGTGCAGGCGTCTGATCAAAACGCCAGAAAATGCTGAACCCTGAACTCCCGAACTGTCTAACCTCTGCTTAACATACTCAACGCCGTGCCTCAATGCTAACATTATCTATGCTACACGGATAAGTGCATGGGCCACATGACCTCAGCCGCTGTGTAACGTGCATCATTTCACTAGTTCTATCATGATGGCAAATTAGATATCTTTAATTAACTTGCCTTCATTTCAGCACTGGCACTAATCAATGATTTGTTACACATAGTGTGCTAAAGAGGCTTCGAGTTGCAGTGCTGCTCAGTATATAGACCCTGGTCGTGCTGAGACTGAACTTCGCGATCTAGTTCTTGTTCTATCTTGTGGTCATATCTTTTCAAGGATGCTACTAAATTTTGGTCACATTCCTCCTGTAGAATTGAAGGAACTAGAGTTATATCTAGCGAGTATTGTCACACTTCGTCACTGTGCTGGTAAGGAATACTGTTTACCACCGCTGTCTATATTGTATACTGGGACTCATAAACGTTACCTCTAGTTGCTACAGCAGCTTTCTATACCTATGACTACAGTGAGCAAAAACGCTGTGATGCGGAAGGAACACCACTTAACTTTTACCAGTACTGACGCTTGATGATGAGGTGTATTAACTTGCTGAAATCACATATCCACCTCGGAGTCGCTGATTAAGGCAATGATACGTGTGTTAGGTTAACCTTGTCTGGGTACGTGGATTAGGGTTGAGGTACTGTTCAAGTTGACTTCTTGGAGTTAACCTATAGTACTCTCGATGGACTGCTGTAAAAGTTTTTTTCTTCATTGTAAGTATACCTTTCTTTGCTATATATTGGTGATTTCTGAATATTAGCAGTGCCGTTATGTTACTCTCGGTTCTGTTGTCATCTGCTGTGAGTTTGTGTTCGGCACGTGTAGCATGGCTTAACATCATATGCAGTATATTTTATGCTTGTAAATCAAGTTCACGAGCCATCGTTCATGTAAGTTTTCGACTTCAACCATTTATATCCATCATATTTCTAACAATTTAAGGCAGGTGTGAGCTTGAACTATATGGCCCGGTATTCATAGCGCAACAAATAATGACATGCCATTCATCAATTCACAGGTGCTGTGCCCGAAGTATATATCGTAATGGGTGTGTTTCTTTTCAAAATTGCACCCTTGATTTATGATTGAGCAATTCTCAGCACTTGCAACAATGTTTTACGTAGAAGGCCTGTGTTTAGAAATTTCATGCTCTTCCAGTAAAATCAATTAACTTTTTTAAACTTAGTCATCCTTCAAGTACGGTTATTTGCTCTGTATAACTTTAGTAAGAAGACTTCTCCTTTTGACTGGCAGCTCTCCATTCAAATTGTCCGACTTATAAATTCAAATAGGGAAACAAGTGACTATCCCTGTGGCTACCTTTTTCTCCATCTTGGTGTGTTCCCAGCTGGGGATGACAAGCTACCTTATATATTATGACAATTGTGTGTTTTCTCCCCTTTCAGAAATCTGATCTCTTGATTATCATTGAGGGCAGTATATTTCACCGGCCCTGATACAACTTTATCGTCCATTTTTTGGATTTGTACAGGCGGTAAACGCAAGTTGTACAATATTTTCCAGTGAGTGTCCAAATAACACCCCCTTCTGAGTATATCTCCACAGCTTCTAAATGTGTGTTTACATTCAGAATACCGTTCATGGTCTTCGACTTAATTTTGTTCATTTTAGCAATGGTCAAGTCATTTCGACATTATCGTCAGGTTCCTGACAGAAACTGGTCTGGACCAAGTGTATTCAGAATTTTTATCAGAGATTCATGCTTAATCTTTTTGATGTATGTGCTCGCAAAGTTAACGAGGTCCACTTCTGATCATCCCCAAAGCAACTTCATTGTGCTTTTGATTTCCGTTATAGAATATTCAACAGGTAATCTCAGCTTGTACGAAGGGGTAGTCATATGGAAATTAGTGATCCCGCCTGTGCTTGCTGGGCGGTTGGTCATCAATATTCGCCAATTTTACCTCGAGCTAAGCCCGGAGTAATGCCACCAGCTTCAATAGCGATATTGCCATGGTAGAACTCTGGAGGAAGTTGTGGTAATGATGTGGGGAAGTGCTTATGATGTATGTGCACTATCTCGTATCCCGGCATTTACAGAGTACTTTTTGGCTAAGGATCTGTCATATACGCATTATTGCATGGATTATGAGGTTATGAAAAGGAGCATCACGGCCACCCAAATGAAACCATAGCTCTCAACGCCCTCTGTATATCCCATTCCGTAGGAGTCTATTCATCACCGACCCAGTCTTGATCCAAGCGAGTAACCTCCCATACTCGCTCGGGGGATTCTTCCCTACACAGCCTTCACACAGAGGACGAGAGCAGTGGACATGGTCTTGAACAGGTGAATTTTCCAGAGCACGCACTTTTTTGAAGGTGCGGTGCCCAGTGCATCTATACCAGGGAACAATTGTATATTGCTTACATTTAAACTGAATTAAACCAGCAACGAGGACTACCCTGGATACGAACATGAATCAGTGTAGGTAGTGTATGATCTAGTGCGATTGAAGTTTGCACAACGTACTGGATGGTTTGTATTGTATAGAACAGTGATGTCGAGAGAGGCCTCACCCACAAATTGACAGAAGACCGTGTTACACAGCAGAAAATTCTTTATTGAATGCCAGGTCCGTATCTTTCCCGCTGATCTGTGTGGGTGCTTGAAGTATATGCGAGTTGTGATTCCTGGTATTCAACCTGTGCATTTCGTAAGTAGGAGTGTCTAAACAGTTACTGGCTGGACGCACGATGCCAGAAGCGAATTTGCATACACTGTATGGATCAGCATTAGTGCGTTATTACTCAGGGTATGCATGCTATGGACACTTACACCTCGTTTGCACTAATATGGAGCCAAGATATACGAGGGTGTTTGGGGATAGAAGTTACTTTACGACCGTCAATATAGTTCTAGGGATAACAACGAGCCAGACACACAACCATCATCGTGCCGGCTTCAATGATGGTACAGAAGCAAGCAGTTAGCAAACATCTATTTGAATATAGACAGCACGGCTTACGATGTGAAGCCACCAGTACCGATAGTATACACAAGTAACTAGTTGATTAAACGATTCAACCTTCCAAAGTAGAGATGAATACATCTCCTTACCTCCACACAAGGGAAGCAAGATACTCACCTGGAGGATTTAAGTTCAGACCGTCCTGCATGTAGGTAATAGGCAAGGGCACAGGCCGTGGAGGCATCACCCACAACATACATGATATTGTCAGCGAGGAGAAGCGACTACTTTGTATCTGAGGATCATATGAATGAAAAAAGGAGGGATGCATTTACAAGTGTATTCTGGTAGAATAAAGACCACGAGTGGTAACGAGTACTGTGAGGAACGACAATTGAGAAAAACTCTTCATAATAAAGGAACAGTAATTATTACCTGAATGCACAAGCAGCTATCCCTACCGCTGATAGAAACTGGTAAGCGCCAAAGTCGTTGAATAGAAAAGAGCAGATGCAGACCGCTGCGTCCGGTACTAAAAAAGGCCTATATGTGGTATTAGGCCAGAGAGCGCATGGATATTGTGATAACACACACCATTGTTAAGGGAACCAACACTTTGCCGCTCACTGAATACAATTAAATCAGGTGCTTTGTTATAGCCATGCACAGATCAACAGGAGCACGCACATTTCCATCCGCCAAATAAAGTAGCTAAAACAAATGTTAACGCAGGGTCTCAAGTTTGAAAATAAAACTCCCCAAGATTAATAAAGACTTACAGACTAACGACATAATCAATAATGAACTAGAGTAGCAATAATTAACGTGGCGGATGGCTATATATCTTTCTCCCATGTACTCACCCCTACAATAAAGGTCACCTGGAATATATGTGACAACGACATGATATCAAGTGGCATAATCTTACAGAAATTACACTGATAAGCGCAGTAGCATTCTTCAGATAAAAGAATTGCTCAATATTTGAGACGACATACCTATGAATAGAGAATAACATATCCACGTCCGAAAAATTGGCAATTAGATAATAGTCCATAGTATAGATTGACATTCCAGCATGAACTGTTTCTAAGACCCTAAATATCAAGCGCGTAAGTACGTCTCCAAAGAGAGTACAGGTTGTCTATTACCATATCAAAGCCACCTTCAAAATTTATGCAGGAATATATTTGTCAATTAGCGTCTAGCACAATCGGAAAACCACGTACAACAGCTTTCAGGCTCCTTCGGTCATCGGGGCAATTTTGTCATCGGGGCAATTTTGGAAATAAAAGAAAGTCTGCATACACGTCACACCATATAGGCTGTCAACAAACCTTAGGCCCATGATGCAGATAATACTCAGTATGGGGGAGTTGTATACTTACAGCAAGCCAAGGAAAGCACCTAAGAGAGGGCCTCGCATGAGTAGTTCTGCTGGAGTAGAAACCATGGCAGGGACACTTGAAAAGGTCCTACAAGCAGAGTTTTGTGGATAGAATGGGTGCTAAGGGTCAGTTATACCTCGCTCTACCACTCGGTGGTGCCACGATTGGATTTGGCATAGCCTGAGGCTGGAGCGCTGGAGGCTGAATGTCGTGATGTCGAAACACATCAGGAAAAGACTATTGATGATTTCCGGGCTGCATTAGCCGCAACGTATGTGGACTCCTGAAGTTCAGACGCTATGAAGCAGCAGAAATGGCCGATACTATTGTGTCAACACTGACAGCATTAGGACTATGCCACGGCCTAAGAGAGTCACTGGCAGGTTGATAACAATAAAGGTAATGATGGACTTGATGCGGGAGATAGGGGATTAACAAGAATTTATGAATGGATATAAGTACTGACGAGAAGACCGGCTTTCCCTCGGATGCATCCTTGGCACAATACTAGGGTAACTCTGCCATCTTTTCTTGTAATGGCTGTTCCCAATTAACGAACATGCTTACATGCTTTCTAACCTATGCGTCCATACCTGCTTGATATGCCCTGGACGACCAGGCGGCGGCGACTTCGTCATCACCTCAAAGCCAGCAATGGATCGCTGACCAAAGGAGGAAGAAGATACGAACAAAACAAGTGGGAGTGTGGCTAGAGGCATCCAATCTATGGCCGCAACACAAGATGATGGTGGTCATTGTCTAGCTGAATTAATGAAAGATATCTCATGTCCTGGCATTTACAATGGCGAAGGATCCGTTATATACGCATGATTACATGTAATGTGAGATTAGGGAATTCGAGATTAGGATATTGTGAATCACGGTCGCCCAAAGGAGTCATCCCGCATCTTGGCCACAGCCCTCAACGCCCTCTGTATATCCCATTCCGTAGGAGTCTGTTCATCACCGACCCAGTCTCGAATCCAGGCGAGCAACCTACCATACTCGCTCTGGGAATTCTTCTCTGCCCAATCTTCAAATAGCGGTCCTCGCAAGCTGACCTCAGCCCAGAAGACAAGAGCAATGGACAAGGTCTTCTTGGAAGGATGTATCTTCAGAGCACGCATCCAGGCGAGGGCTTCAGGTATCTCACGTGCCAAGGATGATAGTCCGAGTAGTTGTATATAAGGCGTGAAAGTGACATCGGTCGGTACAATACTTGAATATAGTTTCTGATCGGGTTGAGCCTCTGTGATAAGTGGTATTTGTCCTTTTCCACCTTGTTCCAGGGTCTCGGGTGTCTTCGGCGACGAGAACGGAAGTGACATGCTCTGCGCAAATTCTTGAAGAGGATAGAAGGCAGCGGTCTCCGCATCCGCCGTGCGTATGGCCGTAGCGGGTTGTGGGACCTGTTGAAGCCAAGGCCAATTTCCGACTAACACATCTCGAAAGAGTTGTCTCGCTACAGCCCATGCCGGAGCATTTCTCCATATCCCTACGGCAGACGACCTTCTCCGACCTTCCAATTTCTGCATGATATCGGATATTACTTCTGTCCGGCCAGTTGGTTCTGGTTTGGGCCTGTGGAACAGGCTGTTCAGTGTCATATGCTGAAATGTACTTCGAACGGATTCGTTGTCCAGCTTCATTGCCAGGATAGCGGATTTCATGACAATGTTGAGCGTACTGTCATTGGGCAAAATGCCGTACAGCATTTCCATGTGATCCCAGAGCTGGAAAACAATGTCGGGACGACGAGAGCGCAGCAGCGATACCAGAAACTCGTTTATGACGATCACATTGATGTTTATCATGGGTAACACGTGGTCGTCTGCGCTAGTGCCGCTGATATCAGACTGAATGGCACCGTCTTGCAATCCAGCGAATGTGTTCAGCAAGTAGAATGCTTCTGGAGCCTGTCCGGCTCGAGTGAGCAGTTGGAGACCAATGGTTAGCGCTTTACGGTCTATTGTTAGCTTGCTATTCACAAGTTGATTCCAGATGACCAGGGCTTCGTCGAATTTCTTGCGATGGAGTAAGCCGCGTAACACGACTGTATAAGTGACCACCGTCGGGCGAAAGACTTGAGTCTTTGCCTGAGCCCGTTCAAAAAGACGTACAAGCGCCTCCGCTGTGATGGCCCTGTCATTAGCCGCAGAAACAAGTGCAGTAGTCCAATCATATATGTCAAGCGTCTTCTTCCTTCCACCCCAAAATGTCGTTGTTATAGACCTTCGGATAGCTAGCTCCGGCTCTTTGGAGGATTTGTCTCGGCTGGCATCCTTCTGACCCTCTGATCTAAGTAATCTATGAAGATACTGGAAAGCTGATGCCCTATCGTCCCTGAGGGAGCCCAGATAAAGAGTATTGGCTGGATGAACAACTTCGGCTGCGTTGACATTGCGAGCTGAAGAATGAAGTTCGGGTCCATAAGGAGGTTCTAAGTTATGCTCAAGGCAGTACCTGCGAATGGCTTGTAGGTATTCTTGCGAGTCATGGATTGCGCCATGGTTAGAAAATATCCTCAGATATTCCTCCAAGTGCGGTGCTTTAGGTGTAAAACCATCTTGCGTCATGCGAGTTCGCAAGTGCTTTGTTAACTGAAGTGTAACAAAACGGTCGGAAAGGAGGGATTTATAAGTGCTGGAACGAAGGGATATATTGCGTGAGCTCATAGCATCCAAAAGAGATACGACCAGATCAGCAGCTTCCTCAGAGCTAGTAAACTCGGAAATTGCACGGAGCAGGGCATTGAAGTGGAATTCAGGATGGGGGAGGGGCATGGTGAGAAATTCGTAGATAAGTCGACGCATAGGACTGAGGACCTCGAAGGCTGCAAGGGAATGGGCGGCAATGACTAGCAAAGGAGGTCGATGGTCAAGTGCAATGATGGGAAGGTGAGCGAATACCAAGTTCACGAGCCCATCTTGTGCCTGTGCGGGAGTACGAACTTTGTGAGATACCAGATGAATGACTACCCAAGGTGGAATCTTGGATGATTGGCGAATGACATCGAGAGCACCCGTAGACTCTTCCACGTCCGTCATTTGGCGCGAGATAGCCTCCTTCTTCTTCTCGCGTATGAGTAACATGGCTTGGTCGATATCTGATGAATTGACGACGGGTTTCCATTCGAGGTAGTCGAAGAACGACACGTCGCATTTCTCAAGGGATTGGTATAGTGCATTTCCCTTGTATACGCGGCCTAGGCGAGACACCAAGCTCCAGACGGGGTCTCTGGTTAACCCATTGTAACGGTAAGTAAATGCGGCGATCTTTCTTTCGAGACGCCTAGACGGTGTGTAGGATGTTCCATTTCGCGGTGAGCTCGTTGATAATTGACGGACGCTAAATGTCTTCTGGGCTCTAGAGAAGAAATGAAAGACAAGATTCTGCATACGAAAACGGCATCTAAAGCAAGACAATATCAGAAAGATATCTAAAATAAAAGCTGTCTATGTCAAACCTGGCGTCCAAAGATGCTCCAACGTCGCACTTTTGTAGTTATAGTCCTAGTGAAGAAAAACGAATAGCACAAAGCACGTTTGCCACAATCCAAACAGGACCACACGCACGACGATTTTGCGCTCCGCACGCTTTCAACCCTTCGTCCTGTTCTTTTACTTTTGCAGACCGAAAAATGCCCCGCATTTTGTTCGTCAGTGGTTTCCACCCTTCAACCCGCGCTCGCGACCTGGCGTATGAATTCGAACGGTGCGATACATCTCTAGCTCCAGTTTGATATTTTTTTTGGGTGCTGAATGTTGTGTTTTTACTAGCTTTGGACCTCTAGTACGCTGCGACGTTCCCGCTCCACGTAATCCCCATGCAAGTTCGAACCCGTAAGTATTTCAATCATTACTTTCTTTCACCACCGCCCAGTCGAAGCGATTCGAGGCACCCTATCGACGCCTGAAGCGATCCTGCTTTCTGCGAACGCGAGCTCTTTCGTCGATTCTATCCTCCACTCGCGAGTTCATCGTCGATAGCGCTTCCTGCGATCATGCAATGTTTCGAGTTACGTCCGAGAACTACGATCGCTCAACGAACCCTCTCCTTCGCAATCGTCTCGCAGTTACGCCTTTGTCGAGTTTCGTAGCCAACGTGACGCTGAAGATGCATACTACGATATGTATGTGGTTTATATTCACCGTATTGTCTAGTCATTCATATGATGGTCATCCATAGGCATGGTAGATATTTCGAAGGATCCCGCCTAAGCATTCAGGTACTTATTTTTCTCATTAATAAACCTTCGATCATAGCTTATAATAGTAATAGTGGGCCAAAAATCCTCCATCTTCTGTTTGGCGTTATGACAGACGTTCTTCTCCTCCCCATCGGTCCTCCCGTGACCGTGACCGCGAGCGTTCTCGGAGCCCCCGTCGTCGCCCTGAACGTACTGAACGAGAGAGAGAAGAGCGTGATAAGGACGTGGATAGGGACAGGGACAGAAGGAGACGCAGCAGATCTCCTGAAAGGAGAAGAAGCCCTAGTCCTGAGAGAAGGAGGGATGAAAGGGCTCGAACACCTCCTATAGAAGACGCCAAAAAGGAAGACGACCGTGACAGGGCTCAACCGCAGACCCCACCTTATGACCATTGAGTAGCTGTTGTGCAGTGTTCATTTCCGTCGACCTTGTTAAAATTTTCTTCATGTCCGTGATGTTCGCGGCCTTCTTTGTAAATTGTACATAGCGTATAGTTATCTTTCACTGTGTAGTTGCGTTTCAATAGAATTGATGCTTGCAATGCACGTTCGTCGTCGGACTCGTAAACCATTCTAAAGCACACAATTTTTGTATATATATTGTGATTTTTGGCATTTAATCCGAAACCTTAACGTCTTGTCGGTCGGACACCCACCGACTGTTGTCAATATCAGTAAATTTCCATTACACACCAAGCATAGCCAACTTTTGTCACACCCAATTAGTTAAAATATTTAACTATATTTTGGACCTACAGGATTTTGTCAGAATAATGTATTTTTGTTGACATATTTCCACTGATACTATGTTTTGTGTGGAAATATGTTATTCTGACAAAATCCTGTAGGTTCAAAATACAGTTGAATATTTTAACTACTTTCAGATTTTTTCATTAACTTTGGGTGTGACAAAAGTTGATTCTGCTTAGTGTGTTAGGCTGGTTCAAAATTTGTGACTTTTGCAGGAGCAATGACACCTGAAGTCCTAGAAGTACAGAGAAGCAATTACCAAACTTGTACTGCAGGCAAACACTAATATTATATCTTGTAAATAAGGTCTGCACCAAAGTAAGACCATTTGGCGTGAACCCCCCCTTTGGTGCCAATAACACAAATATTGAGCTCTTTTGCACCTTGATTTTAAACTCAACCGCTCCAATTGAATATGGCTTAGCATCACAGTAAAGGCTAGCCATTGCTTCAACCAGCGTAACCACTTAGCCTTTGTGTGAATTGGTAGAGTTGATAGTGAAGCTCTCAGATGATAAGCAACACTAGTTTCAAATTTTTCTTCCATCCCAAACAGATGCTGAGCCATTGAGATAGTGAAACTGTCAGCCACTCCAATTAAAACACCGCTATGAATTGCAGACACACCTGAACCAAAACATGGGCAAAAAGAAATGGGATATTCAGAGTCATATAGGTTCAAGGTGCTACATAATATTGTCGTAGTTGTGATACAATAGTAGGGATCATATACATAACATTTGTTCTCTACAGTAGCTGTTTCAGCTGAAACCTTTATGTGCTTTTTCCTGGGGTGACTAGCCACAAAATGCCGAGTTCAAGCCAAATGTGCCGCTCATAGTGCCTTCTCTATTACTACCGAAGCGGGGGTTCCTGCCAAAGGTCCTTACTTCGGACCAGACTAGCAGTACATCAGGAAATGGGAAATTAATGCCATTACCAGTAATAATGCATGATATTCGTCAAAATGTGCAACAATTAAAAGTCCATCCTGTAGTATGTATCCACACAAAGATCAACTCTTTTAAGAGGTATCCGCTCAATAACATCCTTATCAGTGTGATTGCAGCTAACAGAAACTGGGCTGTGTAAAGCAAAGTGCTGTCACACTAAATATAAAATTCATAATAGCAAATACAGACAGCCCCACATCATATCATAAGTTTATACAATATAAATAATTGCATTTATCATATCTGTCATCTGGGGTGTTTGCTTTTTTATCATTGGTAGACTCATTATAAATCTTGCATTAACTAATATCCACTCCAGACCACCGCACTTTGAGAAAAATAACACTGTGTGATTATTCAATCAAAATCCTGAGTAATCAACGTGAAATGATAATATAGCAATAAGATAACCATGTGTCATTACTGTGGCAACCATTCACATTATGACTTGATAATGGATCAGTAATGACATAAAAAAATGATGAAATAATACCGGGATCATTACAGTTCCCTGATTAGATATGATCTCATATACATAGCTCAGATAGACTTGATAAAATCAATCAAATTCTTACCAAGTCCTTAGTCTTCCTATCCCCTCATAAGGCAGCCATAACAAGACTATGCCTTGTGGAAAACCAAAAGCACAACATAATTTAACCACTCAAATCAGCACCCAGACATAATCTTCTAAAAAACCTCAAGTGCAAGCTGAGAATAATGCCGAAGATCTGGAAAGAGAGTTAATTTACAAATGGTCTGTAGCTGTATATAAACCCCAATGGATCAAGCAGACTCCTCAGTGAGTCCTCCTGTTGTATACCAACGACTAACTTGTTCCTAACCATCTGAGCCTACCCACTCACAAATCCTCTTTTTTATTGCTATTTTGAGTTTCTAAGTGTGCACCAGAGTGTACAAACTTTGGTATTGCTACAGTGATTGTGTCACATGGCTGATGATGGTGATGATTGTTATGTCCATGTCACAGGCTAGGAAACCTGGACCTCCAAACAACTAGACACCCCCAAGTCTGAACTCCCACATCTTTGGTCTTCCCGGAATTATGCTCCTCATGCTCTGCTGCTCAGCATAGCCCTGTATCTCTCTCTCATGCAATACTCTGGATACCCACTCCAATTTCCCTGCCCCAGACTTCCAGTCCGCCATATGTTTCCTCTGCACATTCTTATGTTTCCTTATGGACTCTGTACTTAGACCTTATGGTACACTCCTCTCACATACAATTCCTCCTTGCTAGAAAGTTGTAGTTGTCCGCATGAAACTCCATACCTACATCACAAGTTACCCCTTACAGACTCCACTCCCTCCAATTAGTATATAAGCTATAACTTCTGCACTCCATTCCTGCAGTTTAAATATCAATAAGTTCCCTACACCTTGTTTACCCAAGTCCTTTTCTAAGCTTTCCAGTCCTTTTTTGAAGGACCTTTACTCCACTCTACTTTCATTCTCTATTCTCCCCTTGTTCACTCTGTCAAGTGACAAAACCGGATAAACCTGGTCTCTGCTAAAGCAGCCATTGTTCTCCATGGAGTCACCATTGTACTCCTAGGAGTCATTATACTGTAGCAAGTAGCACCTCCGACTATAAGTAGTAGAGGGTTTAGTATAGAAATACCTCAGTCATTTCTATAGCCTCTTAGGCAGTGGCTGAGTTTCACTTAGATTTCTACACAGGAAATAATTCTTATTTGAAACGGCAACCTCGGAACCATGACCACAGCATACAATACATCTGCATGTCCAGTTCTCACTGGACCAACAATTTTCAGATATGGAAACTCTGGATCATCTCAAAGCTATGTCAGGAAAAAGTTCTCTGAGTTGTTACTGGAGAGGAGCTCAAGCCCTCACCAGGAAAGCCTATTAAGAACAAAGCTTGAAGGAAGTGTCTAGCCACTTGCTGAGAGCAATCAGGGACTGGAACTAGAGTCCAATGTGAGTAACTTTATTATTAGAGAGTATGACAGGTATACAGTACCTAGACTCCAATGTGAGTAACTAGAGAATAGGAAGCATTGGACTCTGCAGTACTGTCCGAAATTTTGTAAACAAAGGTAAACAAAGCAGCCACAAAGGCGAAATAATAGAGAACACAATCAATAGTGAATGATAGAAGAATAGATAGAGAAATGAATGAAAATATATAGGTAGCACAAAGGTGCAGAATCACCAAAACTAACAAAGCCCACCTCCTCGGAGGATCCTGAAATCACCTGGATACTTAAGGATGAGAAGGCACATGGAATCATTCAGGACCACATCTCTGATGCCCTCCTAATGAGGACTGGAGACCTCACCAGCTCCAAGGAGTTATTTGATAAACTTGTCTCACTCTATCAGATGTCCAACATTGCCTCGGCCTTCTATTCATTCCAGCAACTCACCAAATTGTCCTGGGATGGGACATCACCTATCCAGGACCACATTGCGGAAATCTGGACAATTGATTCACACCTCTCTGGAATGAAACTAGGAGTTGATACCAAACTCATGGCCTTTGCTCTTCTCCAATCTCTCCCATGCACTCCTGAATGGCAAATATTTCAGTCATCAGTAATCAACACAATTGAAGAAAATAAACTTACCTTTGATGCAGTTGAGATCTGGATCACTGCAGAAGTTGCACGACAGTCAGGGAAGGCCCCTGGAGGTTCCAAATCAGCACTCAAATCCGAGGAGAAGTGGTGTGACTTCCACAAAGCCAAATCACACAACACCTCGGAGCATTGAACACTTCAGTCAGCTGGAAAAGGTCAAAAGAAGAAGGGAAAGGAAAGACACAAGGATGAAGGAAAAGAGAAGGAAAAGGCAGATACGGCGGAGGAATTATCTGAATCTGACTCCGAGGAGGAACAAAGTCATATTGCATTGGAACATGTACATATTCCCAAGCCCCTTGCTAAATGCATTCAAGCTGTCAGAACCCAATAAGACCAAAACAACAATCATCATTGACTCCGGAGAAACATCCTACATGGTCCCTCACCGCTCCTGGTTTGAGCCAGGAACATACCATGTTCTGCATCCTCCAAGGACAATCAGTTTTGGGGATAAATCCTCTGTCAATGCCATTGGAATTGGAACAGTAATCCTACAAGCAACTGTTGGCAAAAAAGACTACAATAATACACTGTTAAATGTCTTACTTGTGCCAAACTTCACTTTAGCACTCATCTTTGTCCACAAATTGTCTAAAACGGGGTTATCAACACTTTTTCCAGCAGGGTCAAATGCTTGTGAAGTTCGGAAAAAGAAGAAGAAGGAACTTATCCTCACTGCCTTACACAAGCAAGGACTTTATCACATCCAAGCAAAACCCAAAATCAACCCAGAGTCAGCTTTTGCAGCAGTAGATGTAAATTTATTGCATTGCACAGGAGAATGGGATACATTGGAATGGACTGCTTGCAATGAATGGTTACAAAAGGACAGTTCCAGGACATAGACACCCTTACCGGAACCCCGGAGTTCTGTGAACCTTGTGCTTTAGGAAAGATGAAGAAATTACCTTTCAAGTCCACTGGAGGAAACCGAGCCAAGCACCCCATACAAATTGTGCACTCAGATGTTGGAGGACCAATTAAACCAACTTCCAGGGAGGGTTTTTGGTACTGGATTATCATTGTAGATGATTTCTCCAAATTTCCTTGGATATATTTCCTAAAACATAAAAGTGAAGCACTGGAATGATACAAGCAATGGAAAGAAGATGTCCAAACATTCTTCTGGACTCATTTGGGAGAAGAAAACTTCACTCCACTATACACAGAATTCCTCCGGAGCAATGGGGGAGGAGAATATACTAGCAATGCATTCAAA